AAGCACATTTTGGCTTTTTAATGAAATGGGGAAAAAAAAAAAAAAAAAAAAGGCAAAATAGGCCTACATGGGGGAAAAAATGCGAAAAACCGTGTTCGGCTTCGGCCAAGAATTTCCATTTCGGTGCATCCCTACAAATTCTCTATTACCATTGTTTCTTTTCCTGACACATTTTTAAACTCAATTTGGATGCATCTCTTACTTTATAAGCACTAAACAGTCCTCCTGATCTGGTGCTGTTTGTCGAGTACAGCACTAGATATATAAAAGAAGCAAAATATATTAACGCTGTAATTATCACTCAACTCTGGCTTGCCTCTAGGAGTTCAGTCCTGATCTGTCAAAGGACTACACGACAGCGGTGGGATTCTTGGGATCACATGGTTCTGATACCAATACAGTATCTCTCACTTTTTAAGCACTAAACAGTCCTCCTGGTCTGGTATTGTTTGTTGAGTACAGCACTAGATGTATAAAAAAATAGCCACAAATAATAGCACTGTTATTATCACTCAACTCTGGCTTGCTTGTAAGTGTTCAATCCTGACTGTCAAAGGACTACACAACAACAGCAGCAGGATTCTTGGGATCACATGGCTCTGGAGGACAGACACTGGTTGACCACCTCCAGCAGCTGAGAGTTCTCCAGAGCTGCTGCCACTCTCTCTTTGTCTGCAAGCTGCTTATTGACTGGAGGAGAAAAACACAAGTGGATTTTTATTTTAAAATAAAAACAGGGTGCTGTGTAATAGAAAAATATTCTTGACCTTAACTATATAAAGCCAACTGTATAATGTTTTACACATGAATTTCTAAGGCCTCTAACGTGATCAAAACTTGTTGCTGGCAAACCCGTTGCACTCAGTTTTGTCATCTGATTGATAGTTTATACTTTTATTAGTAAGTAACAGGACCCCTAAGTGTATTTCTACAACCATACACCTTTAGGTCGTGAAACGGGTCTTTTTGCTGTGAAATATACTGATTTTTATAAAGTAAACATACAAATCATTTTTATAGTGTTAATTTTAAGATGAACATTTAGCCTACTGGATGAAAGCAACTTAAGATTTGCTTGATTATCCACACATCATTTGTTAGAAAAATCATAAAAAAAAAAAAAAATTTATAAAATAAAACACTTTTGAGGCTTCTGAATTGCATTTCATTATGTTTTGCCCCCCAAAAAGCATTGAAATGTAACATATATATTGAGACATATAAGACATATATATTGAGTGTATATAGAGTGATAACTGATATTCATATGCACACAATACTCAATTTTATAAAGATCTCGTTGATTTATAATAAGAGCTTTTAGAAATTGATCTTACATTATGGCCATATAAATAACAACATATGCACCAAATTGCATTTTTTTTTCCTCAGTTTGGGCCTTTAAATTAAATAGACATGTTTTTCTTCCTCAAGTATGTGAGCTCTATATTATCACTATATGACTATAAACTAGGCCATAAAAGCCTGATGTATCATATATGATACGAAACATAAAACACATTTGCAAACTTTTTATTTTATTTTTTAGATTGTGTCTAAAGGTGCCATAAACTGTTCCATTTTCATTCTATTTCACATTGACTTTACAGGGTTAAAGGGATAGTTTAGCCAAAAATGAAAAATTCTGTCATCATCAGTGTTGGGGAAAGTTACTTTTAAAAGTAATGCATTACAATATTGCGTTACTCCATAAAAAAGTAACTAATTACGTTACTTAGTTACTTTTTATGGAAAGTAATGCATTACGTTACTTTTTAAATCTGGACAGGGCTTGCTTGTTTGTTTTTAAAATAAAAAAGTTCGATTTTTGGCAAATATAAAAGCCTTTTCACAAAAGTGAAATGAATAAGCCTCAGGCTGAAGGAAATGTAAATTTAAGTCCGTACAGTAGAACGCAGAAGAAGAAATTTCAACACACTTCAGCAATAAAAAAAGACACAAATGTTT